CATATTATACTTCATTCAGATTAAACCAATCATATTATACTTTACTCAGATTAAACCAAGCTTGTTTTCATATTGATGGAACGATTCACTTAGTTGTTAGGTTTTCGATAAATTGAAAACAATCACAAGTATGTTTTCTGAGTAAAGCACGTGCTGTTTTCAGGTACCTTACAACGTGAACCACTGGCTTGAGAAGAATAAGGATCCCCTGAACGACACCGTTGTCGACCAGTTCAAGCATGGCCAGAACCAACTTCTGGTCGATATATTTGAAGACCATCCTGGTCTTAGTGGTGGTGACCAAGGTGGTGGTGGTGGTGGAAAAGGTAAGATAGGGTGAATATAACTTAGGATGTTCCGTAGTCTTCCTACTTCAATGTCATTGGAAAATAGCAAACAATAGTCCTGGATTGTGTTAAAGTAACAGAACTGACCAATAGCAAACGTTAGAAGTGGACTATATATAACAGAACTGATCGATAGCAAACGTTAGAAGTGGACTATATTTAACAGAACTGACCGATAGCAAACGTTAGAAGTGGACTATATTTAACAGAACTGACCGAGTTTGCTATCGATCAGTTCTGTTAAATATAGTACACTTCTAAAGTTTGCTATCGATCAGTTATGTTAAATATAGTTCACTTCTAAAGTTTGCTATCGATCAGTTCTGTTAAATATAGTCCACTTCTAAAGTTTGCTATCGATCAGTTCTGTTAAATATAGTCCACTTCTAACGTTTGCTAGTTAGAAGTGAACTATAAATAGTTAATGTGAGGGTATAAAAAGATTTTAGTTAGAAATTTTGACCACAAATAAAGAAAGGAAGCTATATATATCTGTTTATATTGTCGAAGAACAAGTTACATAAATAAAAACTGTTTATATTATCGTTGAACAAGTTAGAGAAATAAAAACTGTTTATATTATCGTTGAACAAGTTACATAAATAAAAAACTGTTTATATTATCGTTGAACAAGTTACAGAAATAAAAACTGTTTATATTATCGTTGAACAAGTTACATAAATAAAAAGTGTTTATATTATCGTTGAACAAGTTAGAGAAATAAAAACTGTTTATATTATCGTTGAACAAGTTAGAGAAATAAAAACTGTTTATATTATCGAAGAACACGTTACATAAATAAAAACTGTTTATATTATCGTTGAACAAGTTACATAAATAAAAACTGTTTATATTATCGTTGAACAAGTTACATAAATAAAATTAATACTTCATTTCTTACATAATATGTGTTTGTAGCAGTGTTTGTGTAGATCTAACTCTTCCTAATATTCTCTTTTGCTGCAGGACGTAAGAAAGGTTCTGGTTTTCAGACTGTCTCTGGCTTATACAGGGTAAGTGATTGAATTCGTGCATTTTATCAACGTATGAGTAAACTTTAAATGTCAACACGTGTTAGGTATAGATAATTCATATTGGTTTACGATTAGTAATGTTCAGAAGAAAAGTTGGATATTTTTAAAGGACGCAAAGTAATCGTTATATCAGCTGATCCCTCTCGATTAACAAACAAACCCAGAAAATATATACATGTTTCACATGAAATAAAAATATTTAAATAAAGTAATGGTAATTAATATTAAAATGTTCTTGAAAAGATAATAATGTAATGTTATTTTTACAACACATCAGTCAAAACGTTTTCAGAGCGACTTTACAGAATTATCAGGTTTTTCATCAAGTGGAATTACGTAAAATATTATCAGGAACGTTAAGACTACACTCTGCACTAAGATCTAATATATTTATCTGAACTGTACCGTTCTTTTAGTGTATACATATAACCGCAAGGTTCTCTTGTATGTGACTCCTGATTCTACAGAAGGCTAGTCAGATGTATTCCAAACATAGGAATATAATGTCACTTTCTCCTGATCCTTCACATACAAGAGAACCTTGCGGTTATATGTAAAATATTATCAGGAACGTTAAGACTACACTCTGCGCTAAGATCTAATATATTTATCTGAACTGTACCGTTCTTTTAATGTATACATATAACCGCAAGGTTCTCTTGTATGTGACTCCTGATTCTACAGAAGGCTAGTCAGATGTATTCCAAAGATAGGAATATAATGTCACTTTCTCCTGATCCTTTAGTTTCCTCCTTCCTACAGGAACAGTTGAACAAGCTGATGACCACTCTCCGAGCCACCCAGCCCCACTTTGTCCGGTGCATCATTCCGAATGAAACTAAATCTCCAGGTAGACTCCTCTCCATTATGACTACCCACCTACTTCACTCAGTTTCATGAACTTATGACGACCTGATGCACGTCAGAGTTTATATTTACTTTCGGTGACGTTTCTGTACGTTTATAAACGGTCTTTGAGGCATAGCTGACGGAGAATTTCTACTGAAGTTTATATATATTTGTACGTCTATAAACGGTCTTTCAAAGGTATATATAAACTTCAGTAGAAATTCTCCGCCAGCTATGCCCGGTAACTTATCTGTACGTCTATAAACGGTCTTTCAGACATAGCTGACGGAGAATTTCTATTGAAATGTATATATATATACCTTCGGTAACGTTTCTGTACGGTAACTTTTCTGTACATCTATAAAAGCTGACAAGCCACTATACCTATCAATACCCAACAACGACAAACGAAAGTGTATCGAAAATTATTTTTAAAGACGTTTCTATGGTGATTAGATACTTTTATGGGGGGATCTCCTTTAGAGAGCTCTGTCCCCAGCAGTTCCTCGTCTGAGATACAGTCTTTTAAAATTTTAAAATTCTCTACATTGTGATTTACACTTACGTCATAATATTTTGTCCACCCACATACTTATACCCCCTCCCCCCCCCCAATAAGAAAAATCCTAAAAACGCCACTTCTTTGTCTTTGAATTAAAGTATAATACAATTACCGCAGTATAATGCGAACAAGTTCTTGCAAATTATTAATTAATTAATTGTTAATTCACTCTAAGTTTGGAAGCCCCTACTTGAGTTGAACTTAATCTTGGTGTTATAAGTTCATGGAACTGTGTGTAGGTTACTTGAACATCAAGACTCAAACCTCCAAAGGTAATTATTTACCAACCTGTCTCTAATCCTTAGAAGGATCCCACGATAGGTAGTGTTTTCTTTCCACAACATCTCGTAAGTTCCCGAACTACGTGAGAGTTTCCTCTATCTCGTAGAAAAGGTCTGTTTAGTTAATTTATGGTTATTAACTGTTGCCTCTAGCTTCATAATCAGATTCACTAACCAATGGCTTCGTCTTTAATATACCTTATTATCTGACACTAACTTCAAACTTTCAATAGTCTTTATTATTTCAAAGTAACTCGTTAAGAGAACGAGTCTCACACAAGAAAATTTCACAAAATTGTGACATAACGCACTAATAACGACGATTTTTACTAAGGCAAAGTAACGGGCTGCGTGTGTTTAACAGTTAAGGCAAAGTAACGGGCTGCGTGTGTTTAACAGTTAAGGCGAAGTAACGGGCTGCGTGTGTTTAACAGTTAAGGCAAAGTAACGGACTTCGTGTGTTTAACAGTTTAGGCAAAGTAACGGGCTGCGTGTGTTTAACAGTTAAGGCAAAGTAACGGGCTGCGTGTGTTTAACAGTTAAGGCAAAGTAACGGGCTGCGTGTTTTTAACAGTTAAGGCAAAGTAACGGGCTGCGTGTGTTTAACAGTTAAGGCAAAGTAACGAGCTGCGTGTTTTTAACATTTAACACTCATGTTCTGTGGCTTTCTTATGCTGCTAACACTTCTAAAGCGAAGCTGGACTTACATTTTGTCACAGGAACAACTGAACAAGTTAATGACAACATTGAAGAGTACAGCGCCGCACTTCGTACGTTGTATTATCCCTAACGAGGTAAAGGCTCCAGGTAAGTGTTCATGTTTGACTCGCCACCAGGGTGTGCGGATGTAAGCTTACATAACGGGTGAGTAGAGTTAGGTTTGGCTTCGTGTTTTTTGTTACCTCACTTTAATGATTAAGTTAATTATCATCAGTGGTAAAACATTGTTATATAAAATGC